GATTGCTGTAACTAAACTCTTTGACAATAATATTTACGATGTTTTTTTTGTTACCAAGGTATGGGCCCCGCAGAGCTACGTTGCTCTTTCACAGAAGGACCAAAATATAGCCCGACGAATTTGCTTATCGAGTGGAAATTTACTGCAGTCGTAAAGTCTAATCGTACGGTGTTGATTAAAAAAAAATCGGAGGACCCGAAAAAAATCTACGAGACCTGCAAACGTCCAAAATACAGCAGTCGCCAGGGTCGGATCGAACCCACGAATCTCCTGTATACCAGGCGAGATAGTTACCATCTCCTAGCCACCGTGATGATGATAGAGATAGACGCAGACTCCAAATATACAGCAGTCACCAGGGTCGGATCGAACCCACGAATCTCCTGTATACCAGGCGAGGTAGTTACCATCTCCTAGCCACCGTGATGATGATGAGATAGAGAGACGCAGACTCCAAATATACGCAGCAGGCGTCAGGGTAGGGATCGAACCCACGACCTCCTGTACACCAGGCGAGGTAGTTACCATCTCCTAGCCACCATGATGATGATGCGATAGAGAGACGCAGACTCCAAATATAGAGCAGGCGCCAATATGGGATCGAACCCACGGCCTCCTGTATACCAGGCGAGGTAGTTAACATCTCCTAGCCACCGTGATGATGATGATGAGATAGAGAGACGCATACTCCAAATATAGAGCAGGTGCCAGGGTAGGAATCGAACCCACGGCCTCCTGTACACCAGGCGAGGTAGTTAACATCTCCGAGCCACAGTGACGCCCTATCCTCGGCGACACTGTCCCAAACCCTGAACTCTCCCCGTAGCTTCACAACCTAGCTGGTGACGCGGGCCAGTCGACTCTGGTTCTCCGATTTGCCTCGAGCAGCCTCCTCCTCATCATCCGGCGAAGTCGTCTCTGGGACGAGACGAGCTGAACATCGCTTCCCCGTCGCGGGATTCACTCCCTCCTCCTCCGCCGTGCCACGCCTCACAAGAGTTCTGACTTAAAATTTTCGTGACTGCAGGAATTCATATTCTTTGGTTCTTTAGGTAAAGTCACGTAGATAGAACATAATAAAACAAAAATTAAATGACCGCATGTGTTGCGACCGAAACGTTGTGAGTTTTGGTTTTCCATTATATATTTTTTTATTTTCTATCTCAGTGACTTTACCAAAAGAAGCAAAGAATACCGCACTGAGTCTCAAGACTCGTTATCCGCCGGAGGGTCCTGCCAGGTTTTCACAGTGCAGTGTGGATGTTCTTGTGTGTAATCCAAAGCCGTAGCCATGGAGTCAACATTGGGGGGACCAAATCTTCCAGGTGTCTGGGGTCCCAACCCAGAAAAAATATCTAAATTTGAAAACTAATTTCCTGGCTAAAATATTAAAAAAATTCACTAACACATGGGAGGACTTTTTAGTATTTTTTTTACAATAATGTATAATAGTGTATGTATTATATTGCTCTGTTTTTACTTTTTTTACCATTTCTTCTTTCATTGTATATAATGGCAGAGATTAGGGATTAATAAATTACAACCATCACAACCACAATCATGTAAACAGAAATCTATGCATGAAGACAAGTCCAGATATTGTGGCCAAGGTTTAGCAAATAGTTTTTTTTTTATATAGCATTGCAATTTTTTTTAGCAATATATTGGGGCGGACATTTTGAGCATATTTGAATATTGGGGGGGATGTGTGCAGTAGTGTAGTGTTATGTAGTGTATAGTATATAGTAGTGTACAGTGTATAGTAGTGTAGAGTAGAACCCCTCTTAACGATGATTCCTGTTAACGACAGGCCTCTATAGAGCCGAATATGTAGTGTATAGTGTATTCGTGTAGTAGTGTATCGTATAGTGTAGTGTATAGTGTAGTGTAGAATATTAGTAGTGTACAGTGTATAGTAGTGCAGAGTAGAACCCCTCTTAACGATGATTCCTGTTAACGACAGGCCTCTATAGAGCCGAATATGTAGTGTATAGTGTATTCATGTAGTAGTGTAGTATATAGTGTAGTGTAGTATATAGTAGTACAGTGTATAGTAGTGTAGAGTAGAACCCCTCTTAACAACCATTCCCCTGTTAACGACGGGTGAGTGTAGGTATAGTAAATATTAATTAATGTATTATTAATCATGTTTCTTCTAATATTATGTGTTTTACAATGTTGTTTATCTTTCTATATTAACATCCATTGTTTAAATATCATGAAGTTCGGTTTTTGGGTGAAAAAGGGTCACTTTCGATGCCATTGAAACAAATTAAGACTTTAACGTGTATTTCCTAGATTCGCACAACGACCAAATCACTTAACGAACGGTTTCATGGAATCATTTACCGTCGTTAAGTGTGGTTCTTCTCGATATACCATCGGAGTTTTGGCCAATTAACGACCGTTTAAAAACAAGAAACAACAGCAACTTACAGATATTTCTAGATTTGAAGTTTTCGTGACCGCAGATGTTTGTGTACGTCACGTATCTTCTTGGTTCTTTCGGTAAAGTCACGTAGAAGGGAAGTAAAAATAATAAACATAAAACATAATAACAATTCTCAACGACGTTTCGGCCACAACGCAAGCAGCCGTCCTCAGGTGAAAACCAGGTCTGTCGAGGCGACAGCGTCTGAATGAAGATGAATCCCTGCAGTCACGAAAGCTTTAAATCGAAATACATCACGTATGTTGAACTTCTTTCGCACCGCACATGTGGCCAACCGCGCTAATCGGGCGACAACCACGTGACGCGACGGGGATCCACGTGCGTGTGCGCCACGTGTCTTCCATGTCGCTCCTTTGTTGCCCCACGCAGGAACCCCGCGAGATGCAGGACACTTCGTGGCCTGCGCTAAGACCCACGGCGGCCAGGAGACCCAAGGCGACAACGACAGCCATGCCTCTGGGGGACTCGTACCCGCACGACGACACCTACACGCATTCTGTAGGTAGAGCTGGGTGACTGGTACCCACACAATGACACCTACACACGTTCTGTAGTAGAGCTGGGTGACTGGTACCCACACAATGACACCTACACACGTTCTGTAGGTAGAGCTGGTGACTGGTACCCACACAATGACACCTACACACGTTCTGTAGGTAGAGCTGGTGACTGGTACCCACACAATGACACCTACACACGTTCTGTAGGTAGAGCTGGTGACTGGTACCCACACAATGACACCTATACACGTTCTGTAGGTAGAGCTGGTGACTGCCACCCACACAATGACACCTATACACGTTCTGTAGGTAGAGCTGGTGACTGGTACCCACACAATGACACCTACACACGCATTCTGTAGGTAGAGCTGGTGACTGGTACCCACACAATGACACCTATACACGTTCTGTAGGTAGAGCTGGTGACTGGTACCCACACAATGACACCTACACACGTTCTGTAGGTAGAGCTGGTGACTGCCACCCACACAATGACACCTATACACGTTCTGTAGGTCGAGCAGGCTGACTGGTACCCACACAATGACACCTACACACGTTCTGTAGGTAGAGCTGGTGACTGCCACCCACACAATGACACCTACACACGTTCTGTAGGTAGAGCTGGGTGACTGGTACCCACACAATGACACCTACACACGTTCTGTAGGTAGAGATGTTATCTTCCTCGCCTGGTATGCAGGAGCTCGCCGGCTTGATCCCGATCCTGATGCCCTGTGCCTCCCGATTTGCACGGTTGGCTACGTATGGTACGAAAGAAGTTCAACATACATACTAGGAGTGTGCGTGTCTCTCTCTCTCTCTCGATTCCCGTGGTCGCGTGGATTTTTCCCCGGGTCCTCCGGGTTTCCCCTGCACATTTAGAATCAACTTCACGTGTTTAGAGTATTTGGCTGCTTTGAATGTCCACGTGATGACGATATGCCATTTTGTTGAGCTTTCATTTGCGGCCAGGTATCTTCTTAAAATATCTATCCAGCCACAGTGGGTGAAAATTAAAATAATACGTTGCGTAGTTTGACTTTGAGTCTGCCGTTCTGGGGACCCGAGTGTGTGCACACCGTGGGGCTTGTCTTAAACAAGCGGACACCTCTTCATGGTTCTTTCGGTAAAGTCACGTAGAATGGAAATAATGAAATAATAAAATAAAACATAATACAATTATTCTCACGACGTTTCGGCCACAACGCAAGCAGCCGTCCTCAGGTGAAGAACAGGTCTGTCAGAAAGACAACGTCGTGAGAATTATTTTATTATGTTTTATTTTTATTCTTTTATTATTTCCATTCTACTTGACTTTACCGCAAAGAACCAAGAAGATCAATCCCTGCAGTCACGAAAGCTTTAAATCGAAATCGGACACCCGTTAAAGAGAGCTTCACAACTCATCGGATTTCTCGATTCTCTCTCCACCGCCCGCTTCTGGCCCAGCATTTTTATCAATCGGTGCAATGTCGGGAGTGTGGTGGGGGTAAAGTATGTGTTACTGCCTACTCCTTTCATGATATCTGGAACGGCGTGGAAGAGTTTGGCCCAAATATCCATCCAGGCCCCCTTTCCAACAGCCGTGGCATGAGCAAGCAAATCCGCAAGACCTCCAACCTTTTGATAAAAAGCATTTTTGTTGGTTTCTCTCCAAAAGGTGTGGCATGACGCTTGGTTAATCTGAGCCTTGAACGATGGGCCCACATTCGCAATGCCACGCCTTGGGCTTAGCATAAATGCCCTGTCAGGCGAAGTCCAACTTACGTAACCCGAGGGTGAGGTCTCCTTTATGTAATCACAAAGTTCACAGCCTCCCACCACCCTGTGCTGTTGCACTCGGCTCTGCAATCTTGCAGCTGCATAAAGATGGCGCCAATTCAATCGATCGCTCCGTGAGGATGGGAACGCGATACAAATGTACCACGAGAACAAGGAACAAGCAAAGCAGAAGCAAACTTACACACTCGACGCATTGGTCATTGGTATCACCGTAGTCTTAACAAACTTACACACTCGACACATTGGTCATTGATAACACCGAAATCTTAACAAACTAACACACTCGACACATTGGTCAGTGACATCACCGTGGTCTTAACAAACAATAGCCCCCCCCCCCCCCCCCGTCTGTATTGGTGATAGTTTCGACAATTCACTGTCTACGTAACGCGCACACACACATCAGGTTACGACTGACTGGTCATTCACGCCGCTCGGTCAGAGTGAAGGGACATTTGGGTGGAGTAAGGTCCATCACCAGAGTAGGTCCATCACCAGAGTAGAGTCTTCACCAAGTGGTCCACCAGAGTAGGGTCCATCACCAGAGTAGGGTCCATCACCAGCGTAGGGACCATCACCAGAGTAGGGTCCATCACCAGAGTAGGGCCCATCACCAGAGTAGAGTCCGTCACCAGAGTAGGGTCCATCACCAGAGTAGAGTCTATCACCAGAGTGGGGACCATCACCAGAGGAGAGTCTTTCACCAAGTAGGTCCATCACCAGAGTAGGGTCCATCACCAGAGCAGGGCAGCTCCATTTGTCGGTCCGTCGCTTCACGGCGTTCGCGTCGTTAAAATCACCAACTCTGCTACCCGTCGTGTTTGGCTATCGGCGAATCCCACCTGGGACTCTACGCGACCTCCGTCGAGAGAGAGAAGAGACAGAGAGATCAAGTGGCAAGAGAGAAAGTGCCAAGATCAACTAATGGGATAAGGTATGTGGTATAAAGCACGAGATGTATTGATGACTGTATTGGTGACATGTATTGATGAGAGATAAAGTGACGAGAGAGAAAGCTTGTCTGCGTCTTTTCAAGGCAGTTCATTATATTATTTAATTTACATTGTATTACAACATATGTTTACTTGTTTGTCTTATTATGACAATTTCGACGCATTTAAGGACTTATTAAGTGTTTATTTAAGGTAACTCGTAAACAAAGATAGGTTTCCGTAGGCCGAAATCATTATCCGCTGTTCACGAGCATCTCAGAACGTAGCCCTCATCGCGAACAACGGTGCGATTAAATGACGGTCACGTTAACGATATACCGCTACGCGATTTAAAATGCAACATTTTGCCATTCAAACAATCCACGACGTGCACTGTGCAGTCGCTCGCCGTCGCCACGAAGCAGAGAAGGCGGATTCTTAAACCCTTCCAAAGGTTTCGCTTCATCTTCCAGGGTGTCTGGGGTCCCAACCCAGAAAAAAACATCTAAATAAAAAAAAAACTAATTTCCTGCCTAAAATAATTAAAAAATTCCCCAACGCATGGGATGGACTTTTTATTTATTTTTTGACAATAATGTCTAAGTGTATATTGTATCACATTGCTTGTTTTTACCAGTTCTTGTTTCATTGCTTGTAATGGCAGAGATTAAGGATTCATAAAGTACAACCATAACCACAATCATATAAAAATAATCAATGCATTGATTTATTTGAAGACAAGTCCAGATATTTGTGGCCAAGGTTTAGCAAATTGTTTGTTTTTACTATTTTTTATAGCAATAAATTTGGGGGGGGGGGCATTTTGAGCATATTTGAATATTGGAAGGGGGGTGTGTGTGTGTGTGTCCCAATATATATTATAATGACGGCCTTGTCTTCTTGGTTCTTTCGGTAAAGTCACGTAGAAGAGAAGTAATAAAATAATTCTCACGACGTTTCGGCCACAACGCAAGCAGCCGTCCTCAGGTGAAAACCAGGTCTGTCGGGGAGACAGCGTCTGAATGTTTTCACCTGAGGACGGCTGCTTGCGTTGTGGCCGAAACGTCGTGAGAATTATTTATTATGTTTTATTTTATTAATTTATTACTTCCCTTCTACGTGACTTTACCGAAAGAACCAAGAAGATGAATCCCTGCAGTCACGAAAGCTTTAAATCGAAATGACGACCTTGGTTTGCACGCACGACAAGCTGCGCGTGCCGATTGCCTGTTGTTTCGCTGCTGCTGGTGCAGGGGTGCAAGAACAGCGTGCGTGCGCTGGCGCTGCATGCCGACGAGTGGCTGCGCGCCGCGTTCATCCCGGACACGCGCGTGCTCGCGTGGAGCGAGCACGCCACGCCGCAGGAGTACGAGCGCCTCAAGCGCTTCCAGCTCATCTACGGCTGGGGCGGCAAGAACTTCTCGCGTGAGTGGCGGTGGCGGCGGTAGTGGTGGTGGTAGTAGTGATTGGTGCTGGTGGCTGTGGTGGTGGTGGTGATAGTGGTGGTGCTGATGTGGGTGGTGGTGGTGGTAGTGGTGGTAGTGCTGATAGTGGTGGTAGTGGTGGTGCTGATGTGGGTGGTGGTGGTGGTAGTGGTGGTGGTGCTGATGGTGGTGGTGCTACTAGGTGGTGGTGGATGTGGTGGTGATAGTGGTGGTGCTGCTGGTGGTGGATGTGGTGGTGGTAGTAGTGGTGGTAGTGGTGGTGCTGCTGGTGGTGGTGGATGTGGTGGTAGTAGTGGTGATAGTGGTGGTGGTGGTGGTAGTGGTAGTGGCGGTGCTGGTGGTACTGGTGGTGGATGTGGTGGTGGTAGTGGTTGGTGCTGTTGGATGTGGTGGTGGATGTGGTGGTGGTGGTAGTGGTGGTGGTAGTGACTGTGCTGATGGTGGTGGTGGTAGTGGTGGTGGATGTGGTGGTGATGGTGGTGGTAGTGGTGGTGGATGTGGTGGTGATAGTGGTGGTGCTGCTGGTGGTGGATGTGGTGGTGGTGGCGGTGCCAGTAGTGGCGGTGCCAGTAGTGGCGGTGGTGGTGGGAGTGACAGTGCTGGTGGTGGTAGTGGTGGTGCTTGTGTTAGTGGCGGTGGATGTGGTGGTAGTGGTGGTATTGGCGGTGGTAGTGGTGGTGGTGGTGGTGATAGTGGTGGTGGATGTGGCGGTGGTGGTGGTAGTGGCGGCAGTGGTGGTAGTGACAGTGCTGGGTGGTTGTGGCAGTTCATCTTCGCAGCAGCTTGTTCATGTATCAAGACGCTGCTTGGTTGGCACGTCGAACTTCTTCTGCACCGTACGTAGCCAACCGACACTAATCGATCACCACCCCCCCCCCTCTCGCAGTCGTGGCCAACGCGCTGCGGCTGCTCAACACGAGCGCCAATCGGCACATGTTCGACGACTGGAGCCAGCGCTGGAGGCGGCGGCGGGCACCCCAGTGCGTCACGTGCGCCGTCGTGGTCAACGGCGGCATCCTCAACGGGTCGCGCATGGGCCGCGAGATTGACAAGCCCCACTACTTCTTCCGGTCAGCGCACCCTGTCTCTCTCTCTCAGCCGCCCCCCCCCCCCCCCCACCGTTCTCTCTCTCTTTACCCCCCCTCTCTCTCTCTCTCTCTGCCCCCCCCCCCCCTTCCGTTCTCGCCCCCCCCCTCACTCGTCTCGCTCGCCCCCCCCTTTCTCTCGCCCCCCCTCTCTCTCTCTCTCGCCCCCCTTCTCTCTTCACCGCCCCCTCTCTCGCCCCGACTCTCTCTCGCCCCCCCTCTCCTCGCGCTCCGCCTCTCTCGCCCCCCCTCTCTCTCGCGCCCCCCCTCTCTCGCCCCCCGCCGCTCTCGCCCCCCCTCTCCTCGCCCCCCCTCTCTCTCGACCCCCCCCCTCTCTCTCGCCCCCTCCCTCTCTCGCCCCCCCCTCTCCTCGCCCCCTCTCTCGCCCCCCCCTCTCTCTCGCCCCCCTCTCTCTCGCCCCCCCCTGCTCTCTCGCCCCCCCCCTCTCTCGCCCCCCCCTCTCCTCCCCTCCCTCTCTCTCGCCCCCCCCCTCTCTCTCTCCCCCCCCTCTCTCTCACCGCCCCCTCTATCTCCCCCCTCTCTCTCACCCCCCCTCTCCCCCCCTCTCTTTCTCCCCCCCTCCTCCCCCCAATATCGCGTGACGCCGCCGTTTGGGGATTTGTTGTTGTTGTTTTAGTTTGTTGTCTTTCCACCTCGCCACACCCGCCACACCCACCCCACCCACAACGCCGCACCTCGGCTTGGCCACGTGCGTTGAACAATCAGTGTCGATTTACAAGTGTACAGCTGCAGTGGATTCTTAATATCGGAAGGAAGAGCATTCCAGACGGCCACAGAAGCGCGTCTGAAAGGGCCGCGGTGCGCTTTCAGATTGCCAGCCTAAAGACGCTGCGATGATTTCCGGAGTTTGCGTGGTGGTGGTGGTGGTTTCTGCTCCTTGACGAGACCCGCTAGCTATTGTGGTTGGTTTGTGGCGAGCAAATGGGTCTTGTGTAAATCCCCACGACGTGGCTTTTAAAAACCAGCATCGACCTCTTGCAGAAGCCACGCCGGGGACGTGTGACATGTTCTAGCAGAACGGCGAGCACTCTCGCATCGCGTGAAAGCGCCGCGGCGTGGTGACCGTCTTCGTTGCATGGACAGACAAAAGACGCTGCTAGCGTTGATTAACCGGAGTTCGCGTGGTGATGGTTTCTGCTCCTTGGGATTCATTTGCGGTGAACACTTTGCGTGTAATGAGCGCGACCTTTAAAATATATTTGTTCAGCAACCAGAAGCCCATGCAGCTTGACGAGCACTGGATGGACACGTGTCTTTCTCTCTATGTTATTCCAACCGTGCATGCAATGTATCATCCATAATCCTCATTATTATTATTATTATCCATTAGTGTATTAAAAAATAACTACATTGGTCAACACACTTATTCTGGCATAAGGTATTCCAACGGTTTTAATGTAGTTTTGGGGTGCTGATTCCAAATCTGGCATCAGTTTTTGTCCATCACATCAGGTTTTTTAAATATCAAATATTGCATTTTCAATAAAAACTGCCGAAGAAAAATATTACATAAATGTGGATAGCTACATAAAGTGATATTATAACACACTATCCTAAAAATACAGCACCATATTTTAACACTAAAGCAGTCACTGACTCGCAACAACTTGCAATCACAAGTGACAGAGTTAATTTCTGGTAAAATCAATGAAAATGGGTATGCCGATAGCATTAAAATTAGATATGATAGAGCAAATCTGAGATCAGATTTGGAATCAGCACCCTGAAATTAGTCTAAAACCGCTGCAAAAAGTCCAGGCCAGAAAAAGAAAAAAAAATTTGTTGACCAGTGTTATAGATGATATTTGGACCGCACGGTTCAACTGTTAGCAACACATTTGCTCGTGTGCTTAAGTTTGCTCAACGGAAGAGCGGAACCCGGCTTAAGCCAGATTAACTCCCAGCGCCCCCCTCGAGATCGGGCACATCTATCGAAATCGGCTGAAGAATCCTGTAAATCACGTGACCTTCTGTGTGGACACCCACACTCTGTGAACCCCTTTCCTCTCATCTACGCATCTTTCTCTATCAATCAATCAAGCAAGCCTTGATTTCTGTTGCACTATTTAGCGCAAAAGATGCAATTCAAAGAGCTGTACAGATAAAATAAAACATTGCGAAAAGACTAAAGCTCAAGAACAATAAAAGCAATTTCCATACAAACAAAATTGCAAAAAAAATATTGCTGTGGTTTTCCCACACGATGATGATGATGATGATTGCTTGTGTTGCAATCGAAACGTCGTGATTTGTTTAATTTTATTTCTAACTACGTGACTTTACCGAAAGAACCAAGAATATGAATCCCTGCAGTCACGCAAGCTTTAAATCAAAATCTTAACACATATTTTGTTGCCAGAAAAAAGGGGAAAACCTCTTCTCATACAGACACTATTCCAACCCCAAACCCCGTCCCCAACCCCTATCACTTCCAATACCCATATCACCAACCCGATCACTACCCCAACCCCTCCTTAACTACTCACGCCTGCCCTCCTGTCACCATCGCTTCACCACAACGTTGAATAACAACCACCCCACGTTAAAATATCTCAGCCACTGCCACCTTGTGTACACTTTTGTAAGTATTGTAAAGGCGCCTTTGACCAGAGGTCACAACCGGGTACCCGATACCCGTACCCTACCCGATACCCGGCTACCCTTACCCGGCCAGGTACGGGTACGGGTACCCATTTGTGACCCTGGTGCGGCCGGGTACGGGTAAGGAATCAAAACCCGTTTGCGACCTCTGCCTTTGACCGAGTAAGGCGCAGCTGCTGCATGAGTCTGTGTAAGACAGGATGGGTTTACTTCGCTCATGATCAGAGGGGAAGGGACACTTTCACCGATAAGACATCGTCAGTGTGAGTGAGGGGGCCGCCACACCATTTGAAACCATCGTTGGGTTTGAGAGCAGCACAATGATGATGATGGGGGGTGTTGGCACATTTGTGTATTGTCAGGGGGGAGGGAGGGAGGGGGGGGCGCATTGAAGGCCACCAGTGGCCCACCAGTGGCCCTTGCAGTGAAGAACGCCGCTTCAGACTGCCCAAGGGGAGTTCACCGTTGTGTCACGTGACTTCTTATCGCAACGGGGGTCGCGGGGTCAACGTTCAGAACCACTGCGGCGGTTGGAACGATGGCCGAATTTCCTGAAGACCCCCCCCCCGCGCCCCCCCCCCCCCCCCGCGCCCCCCCAACAATCGCTGTCCACCCAGCGGGTACTGAATGCGTGCGCCGCCAAAAGTCTCAATTCGGTTGGCAGGTTGAGTGTAATGGGGGTCAAGATTTGGGCAATTTTCCCCGCCCGGGCGTGGGAGAGTAGCGGCGACTTTCTCGCGGGGGAGAGAGACCCCTTCCCGCCAGCAAGTGGCGTGAGTGCGCAATTGCAGGGCGGCGCCTTTAACTGTTTTTTTACGTGGCTTGTTATCGTTAAAAGCTGACAAAAAACTAAATAAATTATTTTTTTGCCGGCTAAGGTCCCACTGAGCTGCGATGTACCTATGTTGCAGAAGCGACCTCGCCATCACACTTAATAGCTCAACGGAAGTGGCTTATCATCATGACGGGTACATTTATAGCAGCAGCCGAATACTCTGAACGCACGTGGTTGATTCTAAATGTGGAGTGAGTGAGACCCTGGAAAAAAAATCCACGCGACCACGGGGAGTGAGAGACAGAGAGAGAACACGCGAACTGTAAATACACAGCAGGTGTTCAGGTCTGGATCGAACCCACGACCTCCCGTATACCAGGCGAGGTAGGTAACATCTTGCCACCGTGACACCCTTACAACAGAGGTCGCAACCGGGTACCTGATACCCGGCTACCCGTACCCGGCCAGGTACGGGTAGCCGTTTACGACCCTGGTGCGGCTGGGTACGGGTACGGGTAAGGAATCAAAACCCGTTTGCGACCTCTGCCTTACAACCAGGATCTATAGGGCCAATTTAAAAGCCTCCCCCAACGTTAAGCAACGTCAGGGGCTGACCCACGTGGGTGGAGGGATATTTCATCGCGGTGGAATGCTCCTTGGCTCAGCCATGGACTGATGAGATCCAGACACGGCAGTGATCCACAACGTTTGTTTAAGACGAGATCGCGGCAGTGACGTGCGTACGTCCGTACGCATGTTGAACTTCTTTCGCACCATCGTACTTAGCCAACCGCGCTAATCGGAGGTGCGGGGGTGAGGGGGGGAGGACAACGAACTAAACACCAAAAGCAGTTCCAAAGGAATAATTAGTTTGTAAATCTTGATGATTTGAGAGTGCATAGCTCCAGTGGCTTCGTAATATCGGAAGGAAGATCGTTCCAGACGGCCGCAGACGTGCATCTGAAGGCACGCGATGTGCTTTCAGATTGCCAGCCAAAAAGCCACTGCAAGGATTACACTGGTAAACAAACAAAAAAAGCATTTTTTTCTGGCCTGGACTTTTGCAGCTGTTCTAGGCTAATTTCAGGGTGCTGATTCCAAATCTGATCTCAGATTTGCTCTATCACATCTCATTTTTATGCTATCGGCATACCCCATTTTCATTGATTTTACCCGAAATTAACTCTGTCACTTATGATTGCAAGTTGTTGCGAGTCAGTGACTGCTTTAGTGTTAAAATATGGTGCTGTATTTTTAGGATAGTGTGTTTATAATACAATTTTATCTAGATATCCACATTTATTTAATATTTTTCTTATTCAGTTTTGATTGAAAATGCAATATTTGATATCTCAAAAACGTGATGTGATAGACAAAAACTGATGCCAGATTAGGAATCAGCACCCCACAATTATCTTATAAACCGTTGGAATACCTTATGCCAGAAAAGTGTGTTGACCAGTGTTATCGGAGTTCGCGTGATGATTTATGCTCCTTGACGGGATCAACAAGGCAATCTTGGTTCATTTGTGGTGAGCAATGGGCATTTGCGTAAAATCCCCACCAACGTGGCTTTGAAACCAGGATCTCAACCCCTTGCGCAAGCCACACAAGGAGAGATGACATTCATAGCAGAACCATGAGTACTCTTGCATCGCGTGCTCAAGGTATGTTTTTGGCAACGGACCTAGACGGGTTACTCACGGATCCGAGCGCTGAGCAAGCATCGCGGAGATACGATATACGAAACCAAGTTTAATCCTTCTTGGTTCTTTCGGTAAAGTTACGTAGAATGGAAATAATAAAATAATAAAATAAAGCATTATAAAATAATTCTCACGACGTTTCTCTCGGTGGCGAGATGTTAACTACCTCTCCTGGTATGCAGGAGGGCGTGGGTTTGAGCCCGACCCTGACACCTGCTGTATATTGCTAGTGCCTCCTCCATCCACCTCCTCCATCCACCTCCTCCATCCACCTCCATCCACCTCCCTCTCCCTGGCTTTGTGATTGCCGATCACGTGACGTCGGATCAGAAGTGAATTTCTCGAGTAAAGATCACGTGGCTTCGGCTGCTGTTGCTTTTGCTGTTTCTTCTGTTCTTACTATTGCTGCTGCTTCTGCTGATGTTGCTTCTGCTGCTGCTTCTGCTATTGTTGATGTTGTTTCTGCTGCTGTTGCTTCTTCTGCTGCTGCTCCTGCTGCTGTTACTTCTGCTGTTGCTGATGTTGCTACTGCTGATGTTGCTGCTGTTACTTCTGCTGTTGCTGATGTTGCTACTGCTGACGATGCTTCTGCTGCTGCTGCTGATGTTGCTTCTGCTGCTGCTACTGATGTTGCTGCTGCTGCTGCTGATGTTGCTGATGTTGCTGCTGATGTTGCTTCTGCTGCTATTGCTTCTGCTTCTGCTGATGCTGCTGCTGATGCTGCTGATGCTGCTCCTGTTGCTGCTGCTGCTGATGCTGCTGCTGATGCTGCTGCTGTTGCTTCTGCCGCTGCTGCTGCTGATGCTGCTGCTCATGCTGCTCCTGTTGCTTCTGCCGCTGTCGCAGGGTGAATGCCGCGATGACGCGGGGCTACGAGGATGACGTGGGGAGCAGAACGAGCTTCTACTTCTTCAGCACCAACACGATGCGCAACTCGCTGGGCCGATTCCGCAAGCAGGGCTACACCTCGCCGCCCGACACGCCGGTACGGAGCACCTCGCCCTTCACTGCCCGTGCCCTTCACAGCCCGTGCCCTTCACAGCCCGTGCCCTTCACTGCCTTGTCAGCACGTGCCCTTCACTGCACGTGCCCTTCACAGCACGTGCCCTTCACAGCCCGTGCCCTTCACAGCCCGTGCCCTTCACAGCCTGTGCCCTTCACAGCCCGTGCCCTTCACAGCCCGTGCCCTTCACTGCCTTGTCAGCACGTGCCCTTCACTGCCCGTGCCCTTCACTGCACGTGCCCTTCACAGCACGTGCCCTTCACAGACCGTGCCCTTAACAGCCCGTGCCCTTCACAGCCCGTGCCCTTCACAGCCTGTGCCCTTCACAGCCCGTGCCCTTCACAGCCCGTGCCCTTCACAGCCCGTGCCCTTCACTGCACATCCCCTCCCCCCGTGAGCCACGGGCTGACCCTAGAGGCGCGATCCCGTACACACGGGACACGTGGAGTCCACGTCCTTCACACCTCCTCAATGCCCACGTTAAGGAGAGTTTCACGACAACATCTCTCGTGCGCGAAGCTGAGAACCCCTTAGAAATCTCAAAGTTCATCCTGCAAAGTCCCATCGCAATGGAGACAAACGCAAACAAATGGACAATTTCGATTTAAAGCTTTCGTGACTGCAGGGATTCATCTTTTTGGTTCTTTCGGTAAAGTTACGTAGAAGGGAAATAATAAAATAATAAAAATAAAATAATTCTCACGATGTTTCGGCCACAACGCAAGCAGCCGTCCTCAGGTGAAGAACAGTTCTGTCGGGGAGACAGCGTCTGAATGACACACCACCAGGCTTGGAGCGACTATTTAAGCTGGGATGGAGGGGGGAAGGGCGCCTTGACAAAATAATTTGTATATCAAGAGGAATTTAGCATATTTATGGGAAATGCAGATATGCGATTAGTACTACTTATTTCCATTCTACGTGACTTTACAGAAAGAACCAAGAAGATGAAATAGACGAACAATGTTATTTTTTCTCCCCCATTGAAACGGCCGTACGCCGTATGGACCTGACAACTCGCCACTTGACTCAGCTGCCTGTCTGTCTGCCTTGTTCGTCTTGTTCGTCTTGTGTGTGTTTGTGTTTTTGTTTCCTTTCCAAAATTTGGCCCGTCAATGTTTGTCGAGTTGGCTCTGGCAAAAAAAAAAAAAACACCACCCGGCCACGCGGCCAAGTGTCCTGTGGCATCACGTGACTAGAGCCACGTGGCCCACAGGGGGGGGGGGGGGTCACCTGGGGGAGTGGGGGTGGGGGGCGAGTGGGGTGGGGGTAGCCCCCGGGGGGAGGTGGGGGGGCATGACACCTGGTGCTGTTTGTTTACACGGCACGCGTGCGGCAGGGGAATGCTTATTGTGTAGCCCTACCCCTGTCTGTGAACCCCTACCAGCCCTACCCCTGTCTGTGAACCCCTACCAGCCCCTACCCCTGTGTGTGTACCCCTATCAGCCCCTACCCCTGTGTGAACCCCTACCCCTGTCTGTAAACCCCTACCAGCCCCTACCCCTGTCTGTGTACCCCTACCAGCCCTACCCCTGTGTGTGTACCCCTACCAGCCCCTACCCCTGTGTGAACCCCTACCCCTGTCTGTAAACCCCTACCAGCCCCTACCCCTGTCTGTGTACCCCTATCAGCCCTACCCCTGTGTGTGTACCCCTACCAGCCCCTACCCCTGTGTGAACCCCTACCCCTGTCTGTGTACCCCTACCAGCCCTACCCCTGTGTGTGTACCCCTACCAGCCCTACCCCTGTCTGTGTACCCCTACCAGCCCTACCCCTGTGTGTGAACCCCTACCAGCCCTACCCCTGTGTGTGAACCCCTACCAGCCCCTACCCCTGTCTGTGAACCCCTACCAGCCCTACTCCTGTCTGTGTACCCCTACCACCCCCTACCCCTGTCTGTGAACCCCTACCAGCCCCTCCCCCTGTATGTGAACCCCTACCAGCCCTACCCCTGTCTGTGAACCCCTACCAGCCCTACCCCTGTTTGTGAACCCCTACCAGCCCTACCCCTGTGTGTGAACACCTACTAGCCCTACCCCTGTCTGTGTACCCCTACCAGCCCCTACCCCTGTCTGTGTAGCCCCTACCCCTGTGTGTGAACCCCTACCCCTGTCTGTGAACCCCTACCACCCCTACCCCTGTCTGTGAACCCCTACCAACCCCGACCCCTGTCTGTGTACCCCTACCAGCCCCTACCCCTGTCTGTGTAGCCCCTACCCCTGTGTGTGAACCCCTACCCCTGTCTGTGAACCCCTACCACCCCTACCCCTGTCTGTGAACCCCTACCAACCCCGACCCCTGTCTGTGTACCCCTACCAGCCCCTACCCCTGTGTGTGACACCGCGGGAGATCGTGACGCCGCTCGTTGTCGCTTGCAGGAGACGCGCTACGTCTTCATCCCGGACAGCACACGTGACTACCAGATGGTGCAGGCCGCCATCACCAACACGCCCGTCACCTCTGGACGTGATCGCTCAAAGCTGTGAGGACCCCCACCGGTTCCCTTTCCACGTGCACATCGCTCCACACCTCCCTGCTTATACATCTTTAGCCAAGGCCGTCATCTTCTTGGTTCTTTCGGTAAAGTCACGTAGAAGGGAAGTAATGAAATAAAAAAAATTCAACATAATATAATAATAAAACATAATAAAATAATTCTTGCGACGTTTCGGCCACAACGCAAGCAGCCGTCCTCAGGTGAAGAACAGGTCTGTCGGGGAGAGAGCGTCTGACGCTGTCTTCACCTGAGGACGGCTGCTTGCGTTGTGGCCGAAACGTCGTGAGAATTTTTTTCATTATGTTTTATTTTTATTATTTTATTATTTCCCTTCTACGTGACTTTACTGAAAGAACCAAGGAGATGAATTCCTGCAGTCACGAAAGCTTTACATCGATATTCAAAACACATCCCCCCCCCCCCCCCAATATTCAAATATGCTCAAAATGTGTCCCCAGCAATATATTGCTATAAAATAGATTTTTTTCATTATTGTGGTTATGGTTGTACTTTATTAATCTCCCTCCGCATGCATCTCGCAGGCCTCCCAGCTACTTTGGCAGCGCTCCGGGGCCTGAGAAGTTCAAAATGCTCCACCCCGACTTCTCCCGCTACCTACGGAACAGGTTCGAGGTTTTTTTCTTTCTCCTCGTTTCAACGCTTTTATTGAACTTGTTGAAGGTTTGCTCTGCCCGTTCTACTCGGGAGGGTCTCGTCTGGACCCCCCCCCCCTCCGGCCGACTCCCCCCCCCACCCCCTCCCCACTCACTTCCTCCGCCATACAAGCTGGGAATCGTTCACACCCCCCCCTCCCGCGTCGCTCTCGCCATGTGTTGTTACAACAACAACAGCAAAGCATGAATGTTCTACAGGAGCGATTTTTCCCATGTAAATGAGACAATAGATGATTTCTTTCCCCCCACCACTACCACTTCCCCGGGTTGTCAACACCCACCCACTACCACCCACCCACCCAACCACCCACCCACGCACCCACCCATCCACCACCCACCCACCAACCCGACCACCCATCCACCCACCCACCCGACCACCCACCCACCCACCCGACCACCCACCCACCCGACCACCCACCACCCACCCAACCACCCATCCACCCGACCACCCACCCACCCACACGACCACCCACCCACCCGACCACCCACCCACCCAACCACCCACCACCCACCACCCACTTTGTCCCTCGCGTTAGGAACCGCAGGTGCATGTAATCAATAATTTTGTTATATCTTAACTGCAAACTACTAAAAATAATATCACAAAGGTTTTCATTTTGGGGTGGGGTGTATGCCCCCTCCCCTCCATCTCCCTGCAAACTCCACCCCATGAGCGGGCGCTTTGTTCATGTGCACAGCAAAAAATTAAATAAAAGCATTTAAAAAGAAGGGTCTCGACCCGATCTTCAAAGACTTTCGTTTTAGTTTTATGATCAGGTAGGTCACCTGCCATATTTTTGCAGTTGGGGAGGGGGGGGGGAGAGGCGATGGTTTGGCCAGCGTGAGTTTTATTATTTTATTGGAAATGCCGGAGAACTGCCCGGCATGGAAAACTCGCACGCACAACAGGATGAGAGAGAGAACTTTTTTAAATTTTTATTTTACCAGCTAATGCTCCACTGCTAAGCTACGTAGATATTTTTCGGAAGCGACCTCGCGATCGCAAATGACAGCTCATCACCACGTGGAAATTTGTAGCAGCAGGAAAATGCTCTGAACACGTGGTGACGTTGATTCGAAATGTGGAGGGGGGAAAAGCGGAGGAACCGGAGAAAAACTCCACGCGACCACGGTGAGAGAGAGAGCTAGAGAGACACGCAAATTCCAAATATACAGCAGCAGGCGTCGGGGTCGGGATCGAACCCACGACCTCCTGTACACCAGGCGAGGTAGTTAACATCTCCTAGCCACCGTGATGATGATGAGAGAGAGACACGCAAACTCCAAATATACAGCAGCAGGCGTCGGGGTCGGGATCGAACCAACGACCTCCTGCATACCAGGCGAGGTAGTTAACATCTCCTAGTCACCGTGATGATGATGAGAGAGAGAGACACGCAAACTCCAAATATACAGCAGCAGGTGTCGGGGTCGGGATCGAACCCACGACCTCCTGCACACCAGGCGAGGTAGTTAACATCTCCTAGTCACCGTGATGATGATGATAAGAGAGACACGCAAACTCCAAATATACAGCAGCAGGCGTCGGGGTCGGGATCGAACCCACGACCTCCTGCATACCAGGCGAGGTAGTTAACATCTCCTAGTCACCGTGATGATGATGATGAGAGAGACACGCAAACTCCAAATATACAGCTGCAGGCGTCGGGGTCGGGATCGAACCCACGACCTCCTGCATACCAGGCGAGGTAGTTAACATCTCCTAGCCACCGTGATGATGATGAGAGAGAGACACGCAAACTCCAAATATACAGCAGCAGGCGTCGGGGTCGGGATCGAAACCACGACCTCCTGCATACCAGGCGAGGGAGTTAACATCCACACATGAGTAAAGGCAACCGAATTGTGAATCGAACCCATGCCCCCCCCCCCCCCTTTCTAGCAAAACAAAAATAGGAAAACAATGAAAGGGAAGCTGGCGATGGTGGTTATTGAGTGACCCGTACACCGCATACACGCGCATAGCTGTTAACCCCTTATCAGCGCCCTCCCTTGTCACAGAACAATTCAGAACGTATTGGTCACCCCGTGCCCCCTTATACATCTCAACGTTCATCCTACAAAGTCCCATCGCAAGGGAGAAACACAAACGTATAGACAATCACCACTACTACACCCACCACTAGTACACTCACCACTAAACTCACCACTACACTCACCACTAGTACACTCACCACTTGTACACTCACCACTAGTACACTCACCACTACACTCACCACTAGTACACTCACCACTAGTACACTCACCACTTGTACACTCACCACTAGTACACTCACCACTAGTACACTTACCACTAGTACACTCACCACTTATACACTCACCACCACTACACTCACCACTAGTACACTCACCACTAGTACACTCACCACTAGTACACTCACCACTAGTACACTCACCACTAGTACACTCACCACTAGTACACTCACCACTTGTACACTCACCACTAGTACACTCACCACTAGTACACTTACCACTAGTACACTCACCACTTGTACACTCACCACCACTACACTCACCACTAGTACACTCACCACTAGTACACTCACCACTAGTACACTCACCACTAGTACACTCACCACTACTACACTCACCACCACTACACTCACCACCTCTACACTCACCACTTCTACACTCACCACTAGTACACTCACCACTAGTACACTCACCACTAGTACACTCACTACTAGTACACTCACCACTAGTACACTCACCACTAGTACACTCACCACTAGTACACTCACCACTACTACACTCACCACCACTACACTCACCACTAGTACACTCACCACTAGTACACTCACCACTAGTACACTCACCAAGACACTCACCACGACACTCACCACTACACTATACACTACACTCATACATACCTGTCAACCCCTTATCAGTGTCCTACTTCATAACAGACCAATTCAGACAGTATTGGTCACCCCGTGCCCTCTTATAAATCTCAACGTTCATCCTACAAAGTCTCATCGCAAGGGAGAAACTCAAACAAATAGACACACATTTATTTTGCCCGTATTGAAACGGCTGTACGCCGTATGGAACCATACCTGTCAACCCGTTGTCATTGCCCTACCTTATTACACACCAATTCAGACATCATTGGTCACAATGACGACTGCGACGTTTTTAAATCCTTTATATTAAGTTCGCATGCTTGCTTGCTTGCGTGCTTGCTTGCTTACGACCGTGCAAATCTTTCAGTCGTTTTTTAACCCACTTCCCGTGATCCAATCGAGCTGACATTTTCCACACAGACTCGTTGTGACAGACAATTAATGTTCGTGAAAAAAAATTCCCCAAAATTTTACACTTTTTAGGCAAAACATTTTTATTTTACATATATTCAAATAGAACTCATTCATCGCTTTGGCTGAACGTCAGAGTGTAAGAGCCCAGAGCGTAACCCCTCCGCAGGCCGTGGCGGAGTAGCGCAGTTGGTAGCGCCCTCGTTTCCCATGCCAAAGGTCGCGGGATCGATCCCCGCGTCCTCCACAGGCGAATATATTTTTAAATCCTTTATATTAAGTTCGCTGCCATGCATATAAAGGATTTATAGTGAAAAACTTTGTTTTTACGGGTTATACTTTTTTATCCCCCACAGATTCATGATGTCCTCGCGGCTCAAGGGGCGTCTCCGCATCATCTACAGGCCCAGCACGGGAGCCATGATGCTGCTCACCGCACTGCACACATGCGACGTGGTGAGCTGCTCCAGAAACTAAAGGCATTTTTCTTTTTTTAAACTAAAACTTTTTTTAAAAATCCTTTATATTAATCATAATCAACGTGTTAAACCTTCATATTAAGTTCGCTTGCGCGCTTACGACTGTGCAAATCTTTCGGTCGTTTTTTAACCCACTTCCCGTGATCCAATCGAGCTGACATTTTCCACACAGACTCGTTGTGCGTGACAATTAATTTTCGTAAAAAGAATTTCCAAAATTTTACACTTTTTAGGAACAAAAAATTACATGTAATTACCAATTGCTTAATGGTGCCAAGCAATCATCTGACCTATAGGTGGCAGCCATCTCAAGCCAAAGGACGAGAGGACTCTAGCCGCCACGCATATAAAGGATTTATAGTGAAAAACTATTTTTACAGGTTAATTTTTTTTTCTTTCTCCCCTCCAAATTTCGAATCAACATCACGCTTTCAGGGTGTACGGCTGCTTTACATTTCCACATTATAACTGCCACTTCGTTGAGCTGTTTTTGTGGACAGGTCTCTTTTGAAAAAGAGCTGTATACAGTAGCTCAGTTGGCCTTACCTGGTCATGTAAAATAATTCCAGATTTGAAGTTTTCGTGACTGCAAGGATTCATACTCTTTGGTTTTTTCGGTAAAGTCACGTAGGTAATGACTTCTTGTCTCGTTGTCTGTTAAAAGCTCTAACGGATAAGTGGAAATCCTCCCCATATTGGGCATTAATTCCAGATTTGAAGTTTTCGTGACTGCAAGGATTCGTACTCTTTTGTTTTTTTGGTAAAGTCACGTGACTTTACCGAAAAAACAAAGAGCATATAAAATAATTTAGTAAACCCCCATCACCACCCCTACCCCTATCACCAAACCTATTACTACCCCAACCCCTCCTTAAGCACTCACACCTATCCTCCTAACCGTCACCACAGTTAAACAACCACTTTGAAGAACAACAACCCCACAATTTATTTAAACCACTATCATCTAATGTACAATTTTAATTATTATTGTAAAACGCATTGGACTCTTAAGACGCTATATATATACATCTATATAAGATAAGAATCGATTCTTGCATTGAATTGTAGGCCTCAGTCATGATGAGGATGAATCGTTATTTAACGGTTGGGTCAATCCTCGCGATCGGCTGGGTCATGAAGCCCGCATGCCCAGCCACCGCATGCCCAAGCAGCTTCTCTATCGCCAGATAGAGGGGCCTAAACGGGCACGACACGGGCTGGAGAAGAGATGGACTGATGCGGTACGGGAGGATGTGGAGCTGAGTGGACTTGCCGACGGTACCACTTGTGTCAAGATCAGCGTCCATGGAGGAGGCTCGTGAAAGACGCTACTGCTGCTACTGAGCAGTTGGAGGCAGTTGCCTTCCAACAACAATGGAGGGCAGAGGAGCGACCTTCACAACAATGAGGGGAGCACCTGGTGGCTGAAATGCAGCAAGTTGGCACAGTAGGGGGCACAGCTGGTGCATGAGCCAGTCATCTCCATCGGTCAACCCATGGCACCTGCTGGGTCTGTCCCGTGATCTCCTGCGTCAGTGAAACCTTCGATAAATCACGTGACGGCCTCAAAGTGCACCTGGCCTGGCACAGGCGCCGTGGTGACATCACCGTCGGTTACGTGGTGGACTGACGGTTGTTTGGTGGCCTTGTTCCCTTCCTCGCTGTCGTCGCCGTTGCTGCTGCTGTCGCTGTCGTGACCGCCGTGTGTCCGTGTCTCCCAGGTGGACGCCTACGGGTTCCTGACCAAGGACTACGCCAGGTACTCGTGCTACTACTACGACAAGGTGAAGCGCGGCGTGCCCTTCGTAGCCAACCACGACATGAAGCTGGAGCTGGTGCTGTGGGCGCGCCTGCACAAGTCCAAGATGATCCGACTCTACATGGGAAAGGGCAATTGATGCGTGACGAACTGCGAAGCGCGCTGAAGAGTGGTGGGGTAGGGGGGGGCGGGGGGTTGGGGCCCGACACGGAGCATCGGGTTTGGTGGGGGGGGGGGGCTTGGGGAAAAGTGTTCGTCGAACTGTCACTCACCCGCCCACCCGCTTCGAGCCGCAAACTTGGCCGCGTTTATTCTTGGCCGTGGTTAAGTTGCCGCGGTTATTCCGGAGGTCGGTTCCTGCGGACGACGGAGCCGGGCTCGGAGGCGGAATGGCAGAGCGGCGGGTGGGTTCAGGGGGCGTCTCCGGCAAAACGCGGCGCTCACCGTGAAGCAGTGTGCCAGTGCCTACCAGCCAGGACGCGGTTTAACCGGTGTTTAGAAGCCCTAATTATTATTATTATTGTTTTTCTTATTGTTACGACGATTCTGCTGAGTCTCAAGACTTATGTTTTCCTTTCCTTAGCATCCATCCTCCGACAAAGTCGGTGGAGAGTTTTAGGCTTGGCCTTGAGTCTTGGAGGCCAGCACGTGCCATGGCCTCAATATAACAAAAAAAATAGTTTTTTTTTTGTTAGTTTAACACATAGCAACGTTTTTGGATTTAGATCGCGTTATTTATAAATGTGTCGTAACCCTCCACCACCCGACACGGCCAATCAGTAAAAAAGTGTCACGTTGACAAAAGACAAATAGTTAACTGCTTTAGCCCACCGGTGTGTTGAAGCCACAACATTTACAATTTGAGTACGACGTTTCGCTGGTAATTGCATCCAGCATCATCGGGCATGGTGAGGCTCTGCTGTGTCTCCCGTCCTTATATAGAGCAGCAGCAGGGTGACGTCATCATTTTTTTTTTTGCTTCTCAAAACGCTGGAGAATTTTCAACGCTCGCAGATTCATACACGGAGGCGCGGGGAAACTGCAGATGAGCTGGAAGGCAGTCAAAACTGACACTGTAAAGTGAGAGAAGGGGTCTGAAATATGGAGGTGTTAAGTTTTGATAGTTAATAGCGGCTGTGTCATGCCACACCCAGGGTAACCGTTTAAAGTAGGTGTGTCGAATAAGGTTATCCTGGGCATTTCCGTGCTCATTTAAGCAGTTATGGATCAGGAATAGAGAGAAATTATAGAAATTTTGAATGCATGCTCTACTCCATGCTTGACTCCATGCTTGACTCCATGCTTGACTCCATGCTCTATCCCATGCTTTATCTCATGCTCCATCCCATGCTTTATCTCATGCTCCATCCCATGCTGTAGGAGATTGCCAGCAGAGGATTGCCAATAGGACCGTACACGCGTACACCCTGCACTCGCGTTTTCGCAGAGTACCTATTTATTAAGACTCGAGGGAAGTCGAGGGAAGTCGAGGGAAATGCTGACGCCTTTTAAGCTTGTTGACAATTTAAAAGATGGAAAAAATTTGTTTCTTTTCAATTAATGTTTTATAAGATAACGGGGGGAGGCGGGGGGGCGGGGGTAGCAACTTAACTGTATTTTATTAAGTAATGACAAAAGAGGTTTACGTCTTTAGTAGTGTATTAGCACGATGACTTCACAACTGTCAACCCATACGGATTTAGTCGTATTCTTGTCCAGGGAAATTGAGTTTTCAGGTCCGTACGGCGTACAGCCGTTTCAATACGGGCAACATTTTCTTTTATATTCGTTTGTGTTTCTCCCATGTGATGGGACTTTGTAGGTTAGAACGTTGAGATTCATAAGGGCACGATGGTGACCTACAACGTCCAAATTGGTCTGTAATAAGGTTGGGGCACTGATAAGGGTTTGACAGGTATGCGCTCGTGTGTTGGAGAGTACCCCCGCGACGTTTACACCTCGAGTGCTGTGACATTTTCGCCGGCAATTGCAACACCCCTGGAGCCCATCGGGCGACAGACAGAATTGCGGAGAAATCCTCGACTCCACGTGTCCGTCCTTAAATCGAGGTAGGGGGTAATGTGATGCCGTTACTGTGGTCCAATCAGACCAGAAGCGGCGGCGGCGGCGGGGGTAAAAGTATATTATGTAATTTACAACTTATGCGTGCCAATGTGTCAGCGTCGTTGTATACACAACCAGGCATCATCGTCTTCGTCACCCGCGCTTCGTTTTACCCGAGGAGAGACTCACCCGAGCTCCCAATGTTCGTTTACAGGAGCGGTCCTGCCAAGTTGTAACAAGTAGAGAGGAGGCGGCGATGATGATGAAGCTGCTGCTGCCCGTTTGTACTGCCACTTGAGTAATTTACGAGTCATTTGAATGTGTTTTGGCCGATGCCAGCTACGTTGTGTACCGGGGAGCGGTGGTGTAGCGGTTAGCGCTACGCTGCGCTACGCTGCGCTACGCTGCGCTACGAACTTGGAGACCCGAGTTCGATTCCCGCTCACGGCCAACACCGGTGACGATTATCTGAACCGGTTTTGGGCCTCCCCTAGGTCGACTCAGCCTCAAATGAGTACCCAGTGCGATGTGTAGTAAACATAGCCACTAGCGAGAAAAAGGCGGTCGGTCGGTCGTGTGGTGCTGGCCACCCCAGACCCCCTCGTGTGCCGTTCTGGCCTTCATAGGTGCTCGCTGACAGCACTTGCTCCAACAGTCTGTTAAGGCTATACGGGGGGGGGGGGGATCTTTGTCTTTGTGTGAACTGCTCGTTGAGTCAATTTCGATTAACTTTTCATCAGGTGCTTGGCACGAGTGTTACCACCGTGCCAGCCAACGACGAAATCGTGTGATCAGTAATCCCTATAGGTGGGTTGTGGTGGTGTAGACAGAATGGGTGAATTCTGATTAATGTAATGCTTTAACGTTGTTTTTTTAATACCATTTGATGTTTTCGGTAAAGTCACGTAGGTATGAAATTAAATGAATCACGACGTTTCGGGCGCTTGTGTTGCGCCCGAAACGTCGTGATTTATTTTATTTTTTACCCACGTGACTTTACCGAATGAACCCAAAGAATATGGCTTCCTGCAGTCACGAAAGTTTAAAATCAAGGTTTTTAAAATTATTATTTAAAATGTGTCGAATCGTCGTCGTCGTCGTCGTCCGCGCAAATTGCACCTCGCAATCCGGCAGGCAGCACCAAGTGAAGCCGGCGCTGACAACAATCGGCACCAAGCTCTGCAGTCCTCTACATATTAAGATGTTCGCAAGCCAATCAATGCGTGTTCATACCATTCAATGAGTTCTTTGATCTCTCCGCTATTAGGCTATGAAAAGCGACCAAACGACTGTCTCGATAGACATTCATAATGTAGTTAACATGGTGTTAGAATCGATGTGAAATGACGTAACTGCTGGATTGTTGTTTGGAAACAAAACGTTGTTGAGCTGCTACCGTAACAGCTGTTGTTGTTGTTGTTGGGGTAGCGGCCACGCAAATGTTTACATGGCGTGCAATAAACCCACGTGATTCCAGGCCGTCACAAAAAAATCAGTAGCTGGTTTATATCTTACTTATTTAATTATTTCCTGGGGGGATGGAGGGGTTGGCACGACAAGCGTGGAGGTGAAGTATGGGGGTCAAACACCATCTACCCCCCGCCCCCTCTCCCCTCCTCCGCCCCCCCCCCCCCCACCTCTTCTATGACGGACTCGGCTTGGCGAGCATCTCATCCAGCAGTGGATTGACAGCGGGGGCTACGAATTATTTCCGCGGAATTGTCACCGTGCGAGAGAGCGCGTCCGTCCGTCCGTCCGTGCGTCCGTCCGTGCGACCGGCAGAAACTGCCCACGTGGACGCATCAGACCACAAGCGGTGGCCTTCGTTATTTTTATTTTTTGCAAATTGAAAGGGGGGTTGCGGCGGGGGGGGGCCTCTCAGTCACCCTCTGGCATAGCTCCCCACTCCCCCTGAGGAGCTCGAGAACGCCTGCGTCTGAAAGCGAGGACTCGGCAAAGGGGAGTTCACACAGATCTGGGTGGCCCCCTCGTGAACGCCACTTCCACAGACTCTGAGTTTACGCGATTGAAGTTGAAATGAGACCGACTCGCCGGCCCCTCCCCCACATCTCCCCCCTCCCCCCCATCTCCCCCCCTCCCCCACATCTCCCCCCCCCCTCCCCCACATCCCCTCCCCCTCCCCACATCTCCCCCCTCCCCGCATCTCCCCCCCTCCCCCGCATCTCCCCCCCTCCCCCGCATCTCCCCCCCCTCCCCGCATC